GGGAGATTTCGGACAGACACTCACAGGAGATTTACTCAGTCTGTAGTGGTTAATTTGCCTGTGTTTTTAGGAAAGTTGAGACCGTTGTGCCCGACCAGTCTGTCAGCATCCCATTGGGGGGATCCTTCACTGAGCAGTCCTACTGGATCAGGGGGTGGTTCGAGTGACTTAGGGAAACACACCAACAGTGTAAGAGAGACCCCTCAGCAGGTCTTCCCCTTTACCCATTGTGTTACCCTGCTGCTGCCGACTGGTAGCGTCCGCCAAGGATTCACACTAACAGTTTATGGAATAACACGCTTTATTAATATAAATTGTGACAGGTTAAGGTTCGAAGACTGTCGGTGATAGTGTCTGACTGCAAAAATATATTTGAAGGAATATACAGACAAGCTCTAATCCCCAATAAAATGTTCAGCATGCATAGAGTATGATTCTTATCCAATAGGCATGTGCATGGGGGAGAAGACGGGTTCAGCCCATCAACTGATCCCAGCAGCTACGATGGAGTCTTCCCTAACTTTTCCCCATTCTTGACTTATTTTTATACTATTTCTGTGTGTTTAGGTGGAGTTTGAGTGACTCTAGTCATACATACCTTTGTTACTGATTGGTGTAAAATTCTCTTGCTTTGCTTTTAAAAATACAGTCAGAAAGAATATAGAGCACATGCCCAGTGAGGGATGGTCGCACTTTGGAGGTGGGTAACTTTGGGATGGAGGTGTGCGTTAATATTATTATTATTATTATTATTATTAGGCTTTAATGAAGCAAGTTCATCTAAGGAGAGTGATTTCACCACAGTTGCTGTCTCAGCACTAAGACATCTTCCCCTATCTCCCTTGGTTGACAGGTGGTATGCTGTTTTATCAGCTGCAAAGTACCATCGAGTTCCCTTCCCTGCAAGGATTTCTGCAGAGCCTGGCCTTCGCTCCGCTCCACCTTCCATTCCATCCCTCTTAGCAGGTGTGTGTGTGTGTATGGGGAATCATCACGGAATAGGTTTCAAGTCATGCCAACTGCATTCCACCCAGGGAGCAGCAATTGTGATTTACCCTATAATTCCTGTACTGTTATAACTCCTGTGAGGATGCTAATATAACTCCTAAGTTTCCTCTAATTGAATCCCCAGTTACCTGTCCACAGGGTCCCCGGTAATTTTCCCACACCGTGCTTTGCACTGGTAGCTAGAAAGGTGTTGATAACACCCCAGTGTTTTGGCTACTGCTGGGCAGTGTTGGCACAGCATCAGCGCTGTCTCTCCAACATTCTGTCCCTCATCGGTAGGCTGGGGGTGGGCAAGATCCTGGGAGGAGACACCACTAGACCAGCTGACCCAAACTGGCCGGAGGACTATTCCGTACCATATGACATCAGCCCAGAAATCAAAGCTAGGTAAAGGGGGGCATTTCATATTTGCAGTGTTTACCTTCCAGAGAAACTGCTACGTGTGCGGAAGCCCTGCTTCCCGGGAAGTGGCTAGGAAGTGCTTGCTGATCGAAAGTAGACAATAAGGTGGTTTTTTTTTTCCCCTCTCCTTGTTCATGCACAAGCATTCACTTTTGCTTTAGTAACCTGCCTTATCTCAATCTGCAAGTTGTTTTTCATCTCTCCTGTCCAGCTGGGAAGGGGGAGTGACAGAGTTGTTGGCTGAACACCTGGCATCTAGCCAGGATAAACCCACACCAGTCCTTTTTGGTTCCTAACGTGAGCTGCGACAATGGCAGTTATATATCTTGCATGGTATAGTAATAGCAGTTCTTGAGTAGCAAGCTCCTGTGCGGGGACATGGAGTTTGTCGGGTACGCTGCTTATCTCTTTGTTTTGTTCAGTTTGGGAACATGCTAATACAAACAGTGGCTCTGCGCTTTGCTGTGACATTGGTGGCTTTGTTGTGCTGGAGGAGCTATTTTCGGGGGACAATGAGGGAATCCCTCTCCCTCTCCCTATCTGGGATTGATGTGCATTGTTTTAGAATGCAGGCTCCCGTGTTCCTTGTTCTTCCTCATGTAAGCTGTTGAATACGATTAATACTATTAACTAATACTGTTGGCTACTATGGGGTTTGTGGAATCTGGTGCCATCCTGCTGTAAGACAAAACAAACCGTAGGTGAGGAGATATTGAAATGTGCCCTGAAGCGGCTGGTCCCTGGATGGCAGTGTGAGTGGAAGGATTTGGGCAGGTTCCTAGAGTGGTTATCACCTCCCCTTGCCTGGGACATTACACCTAAACGGGCAATGAGCCCTGGCAAATGGATGCGTCACCTGATAGAAGGGTGCCTTACCTACCCTGATGAAAAACCCAGCAGCTTCTCGCCCTGTACAGGGGCCTGGCCTATGCCCATTGAGCCGCAGTTCAGTACTGTCAGAGGAGTGTGGCTGAGGCAGGGACCCAAAGTGCATTTGAGGACACTATGGCTGAGATAGGGACCCAAACAACAATGACTACAGTAATTGCCCCCCAGAAGTGTCAAAGAAAAGGTGAATAAGGAGAGCCAAGGAGCGATCAGCAAGACTCACTCACCTTTTAGTCGTCCCATGTGGCCAGTGCAAAAGTCTGATGGAGGGTGGAGGTTAACAGTAGACCATCGTGGCCTGAATGAAGTAACACTCCCACGGAGTGCTCCTGTACCGCACATGTTAGAGCTCCAATATGAACTGGAGTCAAAGGCAGCCAGGTGGTGTGCTGCACTTGGCATTGTCAATGCATTTTTCTCAATTCCTTTGGCAGCAGAGTGCAGACCACAGTTTGCTTCCATGTGGCGGGGTGTCCAATACACCAGGAATCGACTGCCCCGGGGATGGAAACACAGCCCTACCATCTCCCATGGACTGATCCAAAGTGTACTGGGGATGGGTGATGCCCCTGAACGTCTGCAATGCGTTCACGACATCATTGTGTGGGGCAGTGAGGCAGAAGAAGTGTTTGAGAAGGGGAAAAGAATAGCTCAGAATGTTCTGAAAGCTGGGTTTGCCATAAAGAAAAGCAAGGTCAAGGGACCTGCACGAGACATCCAGTTCTTGGGCGTCAAATGGCAGGATGGCTGCTGTCATGTGCCTGTGGATGTGGTTAAGAAGATAGCAACTATGTCTTCACCAGCTAAGAAGATGGAAACACCGGCTTTCGTAGGCCACCTGGGGTTTTGGAGAATGCATATTCCAGGTTATAGTCAGCTTGTGAGGCCCCTCTATCGAGTGACCCGGAAGAAGAACCATTCTGAATGGGGCCTTGAGCAACAACAGGCCTTTGAGCAGATCAAAGAGGAAATAGCTTGCGCGGTAGCTCTTGGGCCTGTTCAGACTGCACCAGCCCTGCAAAATATACTCTACGCTGCAGCTGGGTAGCATGGTCTCACTTGGAGCCTCTGGCAAAGAACATCAAGAGAAACCCGAGGTCGACCATTAGGGTTTTGGAGCCGGGGTTATTGAGGATCAGAAGGCCCACTCCGCTCCAGCTGAAAAAGAAATATTAGCAGCCTATGAGAGGGTTTGAGCATCCTCAAATGTTTTTGGGAAAGAAGCCCGTCTCCTCTTGGCACTGCAATTTCCTGTGCTACACTAGATGTTCAAAGGAAGCATCCCTTCGACACATTGTGCAAACAGTGCTACATGGAGTAAGTGGGTGGTAGTATTGATCACACAACGAGCTCGACTGGGGAAACCCAGTTGCCCGAGAATCCATGAAAAAAGGCAGAGATTTAGGAGGATTTCTTTGAAAGGTCACTCATGCCCAAGAAGCACCACCATATAATGAGTTATCAGAAGATGAAAGAGGCCATGCTCTCTCTACTGATGGATCCTGCCTTGTGGTAGGAAACCATCAGAGGTGGAAAGCTGCTGTGTGGCGTCCCACACAACGAGTCGTTGAGGCCGCTGAAGGAGAAGAAAAGTGGCCGGTGCTGTGTCTCTATAGTGACTCCTGGATGGTGGCTAATGCCCTATGAAGGTGGCTACAGCAATGGAAGAAGACCAATTGGCAATGCAAGGGTAAACCCATTTGGGCTGCTGCGTTGTGGCAGGACATCACTGCACGGATAGAAAGCATGGCTCTGAAGGAATGTCACGTAGATGTTTACATGCCCAAATGCCGTGCCACTGAGGAACATCACAACGATGAACGGCTAGATAAGGCTGCCAAAATGGAAATAGCTCAGGTAGACTTAGACTGGGAGCAGAAGTGTGAACTATTTACAGCCCGATGGGCCCATGAAGCATCAGGACATCTAGGAAAAGATGCAACCTACAGATGAGCTTGTGATCGAGGGGTGGATCTGATCACAGAGGCTATCACACAGGTCACCCATGAATGTGAAACATGTGCTGCAATCGAGTGAGCCACACGAGTACAATCTCCTTGGAATAGATGGCCAAGCTGGGTTTTAAAGGTGGTGAGGCCTGGCAAATTGACTATATTGGACCACTGCCATGAACACACCAAGGCAAGAGCTTACATACTCATCATGGTAGAGGCAACTACTGGTTGGCTGGAAAAATACCCTCTAAGCCATGCTATTGCTCGAAACACCATCTTAGGCCTTGAGAGACACATTTTGTGGTGTCATGGTACCCCAGAAAGAATGGAATCAATGAGGCTTGTTTTTGAAATAACCTCATAAACTCTTGGGCAAAGAAGCATGTGGATATATCACATCCCTTATCATCCACAAGTCTCTGGAAAGATTGAGAGGTATGATGGACTGTCAAGAGGGTTAGGCAATCAGGCATGGAAGCATTGGGATGCAAATTTAGCAGAAGCCACTTGTCTGGTTAACACCAGAAGATCTGCTAACCGTGCTGGTCCTGCCCAAACAAAACCACTACATACTGTGGGAGGAGGTAAGGGAAGTTGTGGTTGGGAAAGTTGTTGTGGAATTCTCCTCCCATGGGAAAAGGCAAACCTTTTATTGGGATTGCCTTTGCCCGAGGACCTGGGTGTACTTGGTGGGTAATGCAGAAGGATGGGGGGACCTGGTGTGTGCCTCAAGGAGATTTAACCTTCGGTGAAAAATAATCTGTGTGTAAATTTTATGTTGCAGGAAGTCACTTGATGGTGTGACATGAACCAGCGAAGAGACCATTTCACAAGGAGCAAGGAGAGTTCGATGATGACCCAGGCAGGGCTGGTGTTCATGCTGAACAATGGAGTGTGCTGCCTTTTCTGTCCTGAGCACCCATCTTGATGGCCTGGATCCCAAGTTGCAGCCTGTTTTTAAACATCTGGAGGGATGGAGGAAACCCATGAAATGGGAAATAAATATCTGTGAATGGACTGGTGACAGTAGTTAATAAAAATGTATGCCTCTATGTGTTAGGCATGTCGATGGTTTTAGCATGGAATTTAAGTTGTAAGCATTGGTAAGAAAGGATTTCAGTCATGACAAATAAATACAATAGAATAATTAGAAGATAGATGTTGATCTATATATATAATTCTGTGAGATCTGAGTATGATGCAAATGGTATGGAGTAAGGAGTGGAGATTGTATTGGGTGTTACTGAGATGGAGTTCATTCTCTCTATAGCAGCCCTCACTAGTACTATACTTTGCATTTGTAGCTAGAATGTGTTGATGAAACCTCAGTGTTTTGGCTACTGCTAAACAGTGTTGGCACAGCATCAGTGCTGTCCCTCCAACATTTTGTCCCCATCAATAGGCTTCAGGTGGGCATGATCCTAGGAGGGGACACAACTATGCTCACTGACCCAAACTGGCCAGAGGGCTATTCTGTACCATATGACTTCAGCTCAGATATAAAAGCTAAGTTAAGGAGGGAGAAGGGGGCACATTAGTTAATTACATCTTTTACCTTTTGGAGCATCCCCTATGCGTGCTGAAGCCCTGCTTCCCAGAAAGTGGCTGGAAAACGCTTGCTGATGAGAACCAGATGATAGAATTATTTTCTTTTTCCTCTTTACTTGTTCGCACACAAACATGCTCTTTTCCTTTACTAACTTGCTTTATCTCCACTTCCGAGCTGTTTTCCATCTTATTTTCTCTTTTCTTTCTCCTGTCCAGCTGAGAAGGGGGAGTGATTGAGCAGCTCTGTCTGTACCTGGCATCCAGCCAAGGTCAACCCTCCACAAATTTTTTTGATGCCGTTCAGGTGGGTCAGGAGAAGAGTCAGAGAACACTTGGAGAGATCTGATCTCTGATTAGTTTATTGAGTTCTAGTCAGTAAATTTATATATGTAAAATCTTTAATTTAAAGTACATATGGGTTTGTGGTAAATGGTCAGCTATTTACTACACCTAATTTTAGTATGGGATACAAAGATTATCACTAAGCTTGTGAAAAGAATGTCACTTAGCACCCCACCCCATTGATGTCTCGTGTCAGGTAAGGGATCTCTCAGCATCGAGGGGTAACCTTGAGACGCATCCCTACTTGAGGGGAGATCACTGCTGCGCAGCCAGTTTCTATGGAGAGGGAACTTAACAGACCCTGATGACTGCACTTATTGATATCATCAGGTGGTTGACTCTTAGTCAGATTTCTACTGTGTTCATGCAGTTTTGGCTGCTTATTAGGCCAGACTCCAGGCAAAACTGTTTGTTGGCTTTGGTGCTGGTTTCTCGCCAATAGCCTCATGCAGTGGGGTTTTCTTTGCATAATCCTACTTGTTGATCATCTGCATGGACCAAAGTTCAGATAGCTCAAACTGGAGGAGCAAATCCATTACACCAGGTTTTCACTAGCAATGACTCCAGATCACTGAGGGCAGTAGTCAAGGGCATGTTGGCCCAGGGGTTTTTGTCCTCAGTCCTGACGCTAGTGGGAAATGGCAGGAGAAAGAGGGAGCTTAGTGTGCGTCAGTAATTCTCTGCGGAGCTTGTGCCTGCAACAGGGTTTTGGGTTCTATGAGCTTGGGGCCCTGCACATCTCTATCTGCTTGGGAAAGAGGGTCTCCACCTCACTAAGAAGGACAAAGGTATTTTGGCTAGTAGGTTAGCTGACCACATTAGGAGGGCTTTAAACTAAGAGTGAGGGTGCGAGGAGAGAGAGAATAACCAGCAGCCCTGTGCGGGAGTGATGGACAGGGTCAATGATCATGAGGCTGGGTGAGAGCTCTAGTGCCTGGAAATGCCTCTTAGAAACCAAAGGCAGCAGTGGATGTCATTGCTGCAAGTGTGCCCAAGAGGAAGATCTCCTTGGACAAGTAAGTTTTCACAGAGGAGATTGACATGCAGCACAGTATCTGGGAACGCAGACAGGAGATTGATACGTGGTATTGAATGCTGTCCCAGGCTGAGCGATGGCCTCCCTTCAGAGTGCACAAAAGGAAGGTAAGCCAAAATCTAACCTCAGGCTGACTGACACAAGTAACTCCTGAGATGAAGGAGACCAGACTTGTCTCTGCTTCGGGTAGAAGGAAGAACCCCCTCCCCCCATCTGTTGCTATAGAGCCCCTCACAGTGCAAAGCACCAGGGCTCAGTCAGAAGGCTGTTTAGACTTATTTATTAAAGCAGCATGTTGCTTTTATAGTTTTGCAAGATGTTTACATTTACTAAACAAACACATACACTGCCTATTGGTCATAAAGAAAAAACAACGCTTTCAATAGGTGAAAGGATCCATGCCACTGTGTAAACCAACCAAAGTCCAGATCTTCTTGCTTATACTTTTTTTCTCTCTCTTTCTTCATGTTGTCATGGTGATCGCCTTGGTAAATTCCTTGAGAGAGATATGAGGCTTTCCTTATCTTCAGGAAGCCTTTGCTGGCTCACAAGAACAGCACAGAAATGTCTTTCCCACACCCATCTCCTGAAATGCCCCTACAGAACCGACAGGATGCTCCTGGTTTGGAGACTGAAGAGCACATGAGTAATGGACGGGACCCAGGACAAAGCCAACCATGCAAAGCTGACCTAACCACCTGTCCACGTTAGAGACAGTGTGACCAGAGAAGCACATAAAGGTATTACTAATTGGAGTTTTCCTCTTGAGAAACACTGACACACCTATTTCCCACCCAGATGATTTCTCTAGAGAGCTCTGCTGCCTACCAGGAGCTTGCATTCATGGTGTCACTGAGAGATGGCTGAGTCTGGTGAACAGTACAGATTATCATCTGCTATTACTCTTTGTAGCATCTGATAAGGCAACTTAGAACCCTCCCAGGAGAGTAATGTCTGCAGGAGTGATGTTAAAAGGATCAGGAGCACAGGTGATGGTGGTCTCCTCTATCAGTCTCCACTCTAAGGAAGTAGTCCAGGAAGGAGGAGACAAACGGAACAGCTGAATGCCGGGCTGTGTAGCTCATGCCATATGCCAAGTTTTAGCTTCTGTGATCATGGATCTACCTTTAAGAAGCCAGGTCTGCTGGGAGCTGATGGGATTCACGCGACCAAGTGGGGCAAGAGGGTCTTCACCTATTGTAAATCAAAGGCGACTCTGAGGAGAGAGAGGGAGAGAGAATGATGCATCTGACTGTCTTATCAGAAGGCTAATTAATTACTTTATTATACTATACTATATACATTTCATCTAGACTGAATCTGCCATGCACTCACTCTTGCTCACAACTGCACAGAACTGCACTCATCTCGTGATTCTCCTGTGACTGTCAGCAGACAGTCCGACACACACACACACTTGGCCCTAATAGGCCAAGAAAACAAAACATCCTCACTTTGGATAAACAATCTCCATATTGCATTCTACTTTGGCACAACACAGGCACAGCAAGTGATAAGAATTGTGTTTTCCCTTTCTCTGAGGTTCAGAGAATGTGAATCTCAGAAATCCTTGGGAAGAATTGTGCCTTGCTTTTCTCTATGAAAAGAAATGTGGCAACATTCACCAGCAAACTAGCCTGACTTACAAGGAGGGCTTTAAATGAAACTCAGCAGTGAAAGGGGATGGAGTTTTGAGCAACAGAGAAGGGCCAGGGGCTTCTGATGTATTGGGAACTAAAAGGGAAATACTTGAGAAATGATGCAAAGGAATTGGGGCTTGATCCTTGTCCAAAAAAGTTATGTGGCTGACAGCCCAACATAAGTGCCTTTGTACCAATGCACTGTAACATCCCAAATCATTTAAATGCGAGGGGTTTACCAAGGTTCCCTTTCTCTGTGTTAGATGCACAGGAGAAATACTGGCCAGATATTCTCAAGAGGGCAAAATTGCACAAAGGTTTACTGGCAAAATATAGAAAATCAAGGAACTTTGGCAAATTATTTAATACAACGTACAATTAACATAAAACACTTATCATAGCATTAACTTAGCCCATTTAGCTTAGCAAACTTTAAACCTATTCAGTATTATGTTACCCAAATTGTTACAAGAGAACGGGATTAGAAGAAGGAGAAGGAGATACAAAGACAAAAAATATATAGAAAAACACACATATCTACCAACTCCTGGGTTCCAGCCTAGACTCCAAGAGGGGACAGGGTCAAAACATGCTCATCTCGTTGTCAGCCTTTTAAACCCCTGGGCCTCCATAGGCCCTGAAGCCCAAAACTGGGCAAGAAAATAAAACTCTATAGTCAGATGGCTACAGAGCAGGTATTTGTTTATTCAGTGCTGGGACAGAGGGGCATCTCTCCACCAAAAACTCACTCAATCTTTAGCCTTCAGTTACATTTTAAAAGTCCTTTCACACAATGTCACAATTACAACATATCATTAGCATACTCATATTTGCATAAAGCTGTGTCATGGTTTTGCAACAGTTTGTTGCTTTTGTGCATGCGTCAGTTCCTTCTGTGGTGGTCATCAGCCTTCTGGTGAAGGCTTCTGTAGTCTTCCTCACGTTTGAACATTTTACCTCTATTTTCAGTGCATGTCTGGTGCTTCTTGTTTTTCAGTCTAACCTGTTTTTAGCTAATTTTGCACTTTGCAAGTTCCATTAAAATTTGCTATCTTGCTCTTGATGGTGCTTGTTATCTCAGTGGCTTTGCTATCTTACATTCTTTGCTATCTTTCTTTTTTTACCTGCAGATCTTGTTACAATGTTACTTGTGGTTAACCTTTTATTACATACCACTTAGGATTCAATCCTCCACCCCCCAAGCTGGGACATCTGGTCACCGGGCCACTCAAGAGCTGGTTTAGGCAAGACTTGGACACTGCCTCTGGTGTGCCCTGATTGGCAGACACTGCGGGGCTGGGAGTCTGGGGGCAGGGCACTGTCTCCGTAGAGCAAGGCCTGACCTGCCCTCTCCCACACACACAAGCATTCAAAAATGTCTCCAGACATCAGTCTCTCCAGTCTCTGACAACCACCCTGTGGCTCGAGACATTGACCGGGACCACAGTAATGGTACCTTTCCTCTTGTGGTCTAATCTAGCAGACA